TTTTTAGTTTAGTCCCTGTGGCTGTTTCCAATTTTCCACTTTCTCTCCAGCTGCTTTTGGGGAGGGGTGCTTTTCCCTTATTCTCCCTCATCCCAGTCTCTTTCCTCTTTCCGCCTGAAAAGGTGGCTTCCTGCCCACTGCTGGCTTCTCTCTCCCCAATTCACCTCTCTGCACCACATACCTGCTGAATTCTGTGGTTCAGGTCGTGCAGATTATTGTGTTAATCCTCCACACAATTTTCCAGGTGTGTAGGATGGTTTGGTGTTGGTCTGGCTGTATTTCATGGAAGTGAGACAGATAAAAACTTGCATGCTGTTCTGCCATCTTGCTCCTTCCCCCGAATTCAAAGTCTTCTGTCCTCAATACAGCTGTGTTTGAGGACTAAAAGAACTTCACCCCCCCCCACTTCTCTTCTGTTTCAATCTTCAGATATCTTTACATCTAAAGCCAGTATCTTGTAAGCTGCAGATAGGTGTGTCTTGTTTTTTTACACACCTTGGTACCCTATGTCTTTTGATTGAATAATTTAGTCCAGTTACATTCAGATTTGTTATTGACAGATACAAATTTAGTGTCATTGTATTACTTGTATTGTTGGTGTTCTGGAGATTTTCTCTATTCATTTCTTGTCTGTGTTGCCTTTGTTCTTTCTTTACCTCTCAGAGTCCCCCTTAATATTTCTTTCAGGAGTGGTTTAGTGGTCACCAGCTCCTTTCGGTTTTTGTTTTTGTTTTGTTTGTTTTTTGTTTTTTGTTGTTTTTTTTTTGTCTTGTAATCTCTTTATCTCTCCTTCTATTCTGAATTACAGTCTTGCTAGATAAAGTATTCTCAGCTATGTTTTTTTTTTTCTTCTCATTCATCCCATTGACTATATCATGCTTCTCCCCTCTGGCCTGCCAATTTTTTTTTTCTGGAGAGATCTGCAGTTAGCTTTATTGGTCTTCCTTTTTAAGTTATGGACTTCTTTATACAAAATAGACTTTAATACAAAGTCTGTGACAATAAACAATAAATTGAATTACATAATAATATAGAGATTAATCCAACAGGAATATATAGCACTTGTAAATACATATGCACCCAAGATTATAGCACTTAGATATATAAAGCAATACTAACAGACATAAAGGAAAAATGCACAGTAATACAATAAATATATTAATTTTTCCTATGGAAGAGCTAGAAAAGGAAGAACAACAAACCCCAAAGTCAGTAGATGAACAGAAATAATAAAGATCAGAGTGGAAGTAATGAAACAGAGAGTAAAAAGCAATGGAAAATATTAATGAAACTAAAAGGTAGTTCTTTGAAAAAATAAACAAAATTAATACACCTTTATCAAGACCAATGAAGAATAAAAAAGAGAGGGCTCAAAAAAATAAGATCAGAAATAGAAGAGGAGAAAGTACATTTCTGATGTCACAAAACTAAAAAGTATGATAAAAAATTGTTATGAATAGCCATATGTCAACAAATTGGACAGTCAAGAAAAATTGGATAAATCCCTAAAAACACATGATCTTCCAAATCTTAATCAGGAAGAAATAGAATATCAGAACATATGGATTACTAGTAAATGAAATTAAATCAAATCCCAATAAACAAAAGTCCAGAGAGACCAGAGAGCTTCAGAGGTGAATTCGATCAAGCATTTATGAAGAATTAGTACTTATTATTCTCAAACTGTTCCAAAAAATTGAAGAGGAAGAAATGATTTCAGATTCATTTTGTGAAGCCAGCATTACCCTGATAGCTGAGCCAGACATGACACTATAAAAAAAAAAGAAAGTTATAAGCCACTACCCTGATATCTAAGCCAAAGACACTATAAAATAAAGTTATAAGCCACTATCCCTGATGAACACAGATGCAAAAATCCTCAAGAAAATATTAAGAAGCTGAATTTAACAATTATTTAAAAGGGTAATGCATATAATCAAGTAAGACTTATTTTTGAGAGATGCAAGGATGTTTCAACATCCACAAATTAATCAATGTGATACAACACATCAACAAAAGAAAGAATAACAAACCACATGATTTTCTCAATAGATGTAGAAAAAGCATCTGGCAAAATTCCACATCCATTAATGACAATGACTCTCAACAAAGTGGATATAAAGAGAAAATACTTCAACATAATAAAGGTCATATATGACAAATGCACAACTAACATCGAATGGTGAAAAGTTTAAAGTGTTTCTTCTGAGATCGATCATAAGACAAGGATACCAGACCTTATCAAGAAATACCAAATGTTCATAAGGATGTGGGTAAAAGGAATTTTTCTGCACTGTTGGTGGAAATATAAGCAGGGGCAGCCACTATGAAAAACAGTATGGAGGTTCCTCAGAAAATTAAAAGTAAAACTACCATATGATCCAGCAATTTCATTTCCTGGTATTTTTCCAAAGAAAATGAAAACATGAATTCAAAGAGATATATGCACCCTTATGTTTATCACAGCATTATTTACAATAGCTAAGATATGGAAGCAATGTAAATACCCATTGGTAGATAAGTGTCTAAAGATATGGCATACTGAAATCTTGTCATTTACAACAACATAGGTTGACCTAGAGGGTATTATGCTAAGTGAAATAAGTCAGACACAGAAAGGCAAATACTGCAGTATATGATTTCATTTATATGTGGAATCTAAAAAACGAATAAACAAAACAAAGCAGAAACAGACTCATAGAGAACAAACTAATGGTTGCCAGTGGGGTGGGGGATTGGGAGGATGGATAAAATAGCTGAAAGGAATTAAATGTTACAATCTTCAAGTTCTAAAGTAAATAAGACACAGGGATACAATGTACAGCATAGGGAATATAGTCAATAACATTGTAACTAAATTTGTATGTGACAGATGGTTAATAGATTTATTGCAGTGACAACTTTGTAATGTTGTTACCACAATAAATATATAAATATCAAATCACTATGCTGCACAACTGAAACCAATACAATATTGTATGCCAAGTATTCAATTAAAAAAAATAAACTAGAACTGGGGCCCCTGGGTGGCTCACTTAAACGTCCAACTTCAGCTAAGGTCATGATCTCACAGTTCGTGAGTTTGAGCCCTGTGTCAGACTCTGTGCTGACAGCTCAGAGGCTGGAGTCTGCTTCGGATTTTGTGTCTCCTTTTCTCTCTGCCTTTCCCTTGCTCATGCTCTGTCTCTCTCTCAAAAATAAATAAACATTAAAAATATATTACAGGAAACCACACAGGGATGGAGCACACAATATATTGGCTGCATAAATTTATAAATGAATGAACAGGTGAATAAGTGGATAGAGTGTACCCAGACTTTTGAGAAGGGTTATCCTATAATCCCATTATCTTTTCCTATATATTTTCTTAGTAAAAAAAAATCAATGCCTAATCATCTCAGTAATATGCTTCAGTCCATTTTCACTTATAAAACAGGTAAATAAAAACTTGTGAAGTCTTAACAATTTTTCAAATTATCTTCCCTGCATCTTTGTAGTTGTCCTGTATTCACCAAACCTTGTAGAATTAACCCAAATTCAGTGGTTTAGAGGATTTGAGTTTCAAAAATGGTTGCTTAGTTTAACTGTGTAATGAAAGCTTTTTTGTTTTTGTAGAGCCTAATGGTGACATCTAAACCTACTGTTGAAATCAATTCCACTTAATGGTAAAACCATGAGGCACTTTTGGAGGTGAAAATCATTTTGTTTCTTACAGACCAGAATACTTAAAGTAGTGTAACTGATGACATAAATGAAATGTAATTTTAAGTGATCTTATTTCTGAATGAATCAGTTACATTTCTTGTCAAATTGTCATCACTGTTGATAAGGTGGGTTACTAGAATAGTTTATCAAAAAATTTTAATTACTCTCAAATGTACTATAGCTGTGACTTGTCAATAGGAGGATCGTGTGTACAAATTTAAAACTCGTTTAGTTAGGTGTATCTGAAATTAATGAAAACTTAGTTTTACTCAACTGTGGAGCAATAAAATTAAAATCCTTAGTCCAAATATCTTGTGATAGGTACTTGTACTAGGAATTAGGGTTTGGGTTGGTTTTTTTGTTTTGTTTTTTTTTTTTGCTTCTTCTTTTTTTTTAAGTAGGCTCTATGTGGGGCTTGAATTCATGATCCCAAAATCAAGAGTTGCATGCTCCACCAGCTGAGCCAGCCAAGAACCTGAGGAATTGGGTTTTTGTAAAGAATCTTCATTATAAATAAAAATCTTCTTCTTTTACCAATAATAATTTAAATTTCAATCTAATATAAGAAGAAACCTATGGATGTGACTTCTTATGAAATATCCCAAAATTTATAGAAATTCAACCTTTACCTCATCATCTAATCAAAAAACAGTATGCAAAGTCAGCTGTAATATTTTATAGAATTCATGATTTTCTATTTATGACATTGCTAAATCAGAACGCCAGAGTACAATTTGGTCATATAGAATTATAAATCAAATCATTGACCTAAAATTTGTATTTTAACCCCTGAACAACATGGCACAGATTAAAAATCCTAATTTATAAATACATCATAGGAATCTGTGATTCCACATACATCTATGTGCAATACATCATAGGAATAAAATGCATAATAAGAATAAGCTTTTAATAAATAATATTTGCAGTCTATAATATTGGTATAGTATATAATTCTCCTATAAGATTAATTAGAACCATTAAGTTGCTTTAAAAATGTAAATCCTGGAAATAATATATATCCTGGAGAGAAGGCAAGATAGCAGAGTAGTGGGAGGACTCTAGATTTGCCTCAGCTCTCAAACACAGCTAGATAAATGTCAAATCATTCTGAATACACAAAAAAATCAATCTGAGGACTGACATCAGAAAATGCACAACTAGGAGAGAAGAGGCAACGTGAAATGTGGGAGGTGCAGAGATGTGATTTGGGGCAGAAAAGTATTACAGATGTTGTGGAAGGGAGGGAACCCTGGTCATAGACAGAGGTGGAAGAGAGAGAGAGAGAGAGAGAGAGAGAGAGAGAAGTATACAAGGTGCCACACAAGGAAAACACTTCCCCAAAACATTGACTGGGAAAATGAGAGGGGCTGATTTTTGTGAGTTTTTACAAGTAGGGCACAAAGACTGGAGTTTTAGAAGACCATGGCATGGCTGGTGTGGAGCCCGGCAGGTGCTGCAGTGCTTCTCTAGAGGAGGGTAGATAACCTGGTAGCAGAAGCTGCAATCTGAGGATCCCCTGGGATGCACTGGGAAAGGTGGTTCTTCCTTCTTGGAGTGCATCAGGAAGAGGTAGCACTGCCTCTCCAGGGAAAAAAGAGCTGGTGGGTTCCATTACCATCCCGTCCCTCAACATAAGTGTAAAGATGCTTGCTGAGGACAGCTAACTTAGACAGACTCTATGCTGGATTTTACTCCAAAATCCGCCCCCCCCCCATGTGCTTTGGTGTCACTGCTCTTCTGGAATAAATCTGAATCAGTACTAGTGTGGCAAGAGCCTCCCCAGAGGACTAGTGTGGGTCCCTGCCATAACAGGTCCCTAAAGTTTGGAGTTTTAAAATTTAGCTGGCCTAACTAGTATAAAAAGAAAAAAGAAAAAACAGGTGCACAGTGCTGCCAAACAGGCAGATGAACTGGATACAGTCATTGTGAAGGCAGGAATCTGAGGAAAACCTGTGACACATGGGGGAACATTGTTTACTCTTTTGTGAAGACTTTCCAGGAAGAAGCAGGCATGAACTCCACTCTTTGGAAAAAGGGAGTTGGCTGGTGCAATTTCTCTCTCTTGTCCCTTAGCAAAAACTAAATTCTTTAAGTGGTACGGCACCAAGAGTGGCAGCCAAAACCACTTACACCAAGCCCCACCACCCTGTGCTTTGCAGATGCTGCATTTCTAGGGCAAGCTTGCCTGATAACCAAAGAGCAGGCCCCTCCCCGCAGAAGACCAGTGAAAACTACCCCCCTACACTACATGTCTAGTGACCACAGAGTTCTGCAAAACTTCAGGTCTAGTAGAAATAACATCAGATCTTTTTTTAACAGACCAGAGCACACCTACTTAAAACTTACAACACTCTGGCCTAAGTCCAAACACTCCATGAGGAAGGGAAAGAGAAACTATGCAGAGAACTGACCTGAGGGAAACAGCAGCCAAAACACAGCACCAGAGTTCACACAGCCTACATCAGATATACTTCCTGAGGCACAAGACCCTGGACAGTATAAGACCTCTTTATAAAGCCATTACACTCTGGAGCACTAAACATAACAAGCTATCCTAGTACAGAGAAGACAAAGCCTTGGCAGAGTGCCAAGATGGAGGAATTAATCTCAAAAGAAAGAGCAAGAAAAGATTGGGTTCAGGATGTAATCAAAACAGATATAAGTAATATGCCTGATCCATATTTTAAAACAACAGCTATAAGGATACTAGGTGTGTTTAAGAAAAGCATAGAAGGCATCAGGGAGTCCCTTATCACCAAGATAAAAGAGCTAAAAGCCAATTAGCCTGAAATTTAAAAAGTTATACATGAAATGGGAAACTGGATATAATGACCACAAAAACGGAAGAAGCAGAGGAATAAAAAAGTTATATAGAAGATAGAATTGTGGAAAATAATAAAGCAGAAAAGAATAGGGGAAGAAAAATATTAGATCACAAATGTAGATGTAGGGAACTCAGCGACTCCATAAAGCATAAAAACATTCATACCATAGGAGTCCCAGAAGAAGAGAGGGAAAAGGGGTTAGAAGTCTTACTTGAGGAATTATAGCTGAAAAATTCCCTAATCTGGGGGAGGAAACATACATCCAAATCTAGGAGGCACAGAGAAGTCCAATCAAAATGAACAAAAACAGGCCAACAACAAGACATAGAATACTTACATTTACAAAATATAAATATAAAGAAAAAATCCTAAAAGCAGCAAGAGAACAAATCTCTAACTTACAAGGGAAGACAAATAAGGTCACCAGAAGATCTCTTCACAGAAATTTGGCAGGCCAGAAGGGAGTGGCATAATATACACAATGTGATGAATGGGAAAAATCTGCAGCCAAGAATATCCAGCAAGGCTACCATTCAGAATGGAAGGAAAGATAAATTTCCCAGACAAGAAAACTAAAGAGGTTCATGACCATTTAACTATCCCAGTAAGAAATATTAAAGGGGACTCTTTGGGTGGGAAGGAAATAAAAGTGACAAACACTAGAAAGGAACAGAGAAAATCTCCAGAAGCCATGACTTAACAAGTAATAGAATAGCACTAAATTCATATCTATCAATAATAACTCTGAGTGTAAATGGACTAAGTGCTCCCATTCAAAGGCATAGTGTATCAGAATAGATTAAAACAAAACAAAACAAAATTATCCATATGTTGCCTACAAGATATTTATTTTAGACCTAAATATACCTGCAGATTAAAAGTTCAGGGATGGAGAAAAATCTATAATATTAATGGACATCAAAAGAAAGCTGGGATAGCCATACTTGTATGAGAAAAATTAGATTTTAAAACAAAGACTACAGTAACAATAGATAAAGAAGGGCATTATATGATAAAAAGGGATGTATCCACCAAGAAGATCTAACAATTATAAATATTTATGCCCCCAACATGACAGAACCCAAATATATAAACAATTAATACAAAAATAAAGGAACTCATTGTTAAAAATACAACAATAGCATGAGACTTGGACACCCCACTTACAACAATGGGCAGATCATCTAAGCAGAAAATCAAAAGGGAAACACACTGCACTGGATGGACTAAACAGATATATTAATAACATTTGATTCTAAAGTAGCAGAATACACATTCTTTTCAAGTGCACATGGAACATCCTCCAGAACAGATTACATACTAGGCCACAAATCAGGCCTCAACAAGTACAAAAGGATTAAGATCATTCCATGCATATTTTCTTACCACAATGCTATGAAATTTGTTTTTTTTTTTTAATTTGTTTTTTTTTTCAACGTTTATTTATTTTTGGGACAGAGAGAGACAGAGCATGAACGGGGGAGGGGCAGAGAGAGAGGGAGACACGGGATCAGAAACAGGCTCCAGGCTCCGAGCCATCAGCTCAGAGCCCGACGCGGGGCTCGAACTCACGGACCGCGAGATCGTGACCTGGCTGAAGTCGGACGCTTAACCGACTGCGCCACCCAGGCGCCCCAATGCTATGAAATTTGAAGTAAACACAAGAAAAAGAAATTGGAAAGGCCAAAATACATGCAGGTTAAAATAGATGTTACTAAAAAATGAGTGGGACAAACAGGAAATTAAAAATGAAATCTAAAAATACATGGGAACAAGTGAAAATGAAAACATTACAATCCAAAATCTTTGAAATGCATCAAAAGCAGTCCTAAGAAGGTAGTACAGAGCAATAGAGGCCTACTTCAATAAGCATGAATAATCTCTACTACACAACCTAGCTTTAAACCTAAAGGAGCTAGAAAAAAAACAGCAAACAAAGCCAAAGCCAGAAAAGGAAGTGGAATAATAAAGATGAGAGCAGAAATAAATGATGTAGAAACAAACAATAAAGACATATTAATGAAACCAGCAGCACTTTTTTTGAAAAAAAAATAATAAAATTGATAAACCCCTAACCAACTTATAAAAGAGAAAAGAGAAAGGATCCATATAAATAAAATCATGAATGATAAAAGAGAGATCACAACCAACACCACAAAAATACAGTTATAAGAGAATATTATGAGGGGGGAAGTTAAGATGGGGGAGAACTAGGGGGACCCTGGGCTTTCCTCATCTATCAAATACAACTGTATTGAGGTAAGATCACTTGGGACACCCAAGAAATCTGTCTGAAGACTGGAAGAAGGATATCCATGGTTGAAGGAGATAGTGTGGCAGGTGTGAGGCTTATTTCAACAAACAAATCAAAGCACACCTGGTTAAAAGTCCTAACACTCCCCATTGCAAGCAAGGAGGAGGTTTACAGAGGACAGACCAGTGGTAAAGAGCAGCCAAAATGCAATAGCAGAGTGCAAACGGCATGCGCCAGAAAGACTTCCTGAAGTGCCAGGCTCTGGACAGTGTATGACCACTTTTTAATATTGCATTACTCTCAGGTGCAAGAAATGTAACAAGCTTTCAAAACATACAAAAGACAGAAACTTAGCCAAAATGACAATAAGGAGGAATTCTCCCCAAAAGAAAGGTCAAGAAAGTCACAACCAGGAACTTGGTCAAAACAGATACAAGCAAAATACCTCAACAAGAATTTAGAACAACAGACATAAGAGAAGTAGCTGGGCTTGAAAACCCAGAGAAACCCCTGTTGCAGAGATCAATGACCTAAAAACTAGTCAGGCTGAAATAAAAAATGCTATAACTAAGATGCAAAACTGACTGTATATAGTTACAACAAAGGTTGAAGAAGCAGAGAAGAGAATAGGTGATATAAAAGATAACATTATCAGAGAAGAGTTAAGATGGCAGAGGAGTAGGGGAACTGGGATTTCTCTCATTCCTCAAACACAGCTGTATTGAAGTCAGATCACTTGGAACACCCAGGAAATCAATCTGTGGAGTGGCAGAAAGATCTCCACAGATGGATAGAGACAGCTTGGAGAGACTGAGGTGCATGTATGTGAATTGGAGTAGATAAATGATGTAGGCACGGAGAGGAGGGAACCTCTTCTGTGGAAAAACAAAAAAGAGAGAAAGAAATAGAGGCTGTGTAATTGTGGTATTGAGTTAGTACAAGAGGAAGACCTTCTCCAGACCACAGACTGGGGAACAAGAAATACGGAGAGTGACAGTTTCTATTTTACAAACAACCTTAGTAGCTAAAGATTTGAGTTTTCCAAAGTGCACGACTTTCTCCAGACCAAAGATAAAAGCAAATGGGGGGATCCAGCTCTGTGGTGCAGTAATGATCTCAGGGGCACACTGGGAGAGAACAGTCCCTTTCCTTGAGTATTGTGGAAAGAGGGTTTATTGCCTCCCCAAGGACAAAAGACCCCACAGGTGCCAGAAAAAGAACTTTTATTGGCAGGGCTGATTGGCTATACACCAGAATAAGTTCTGCATGGGGAAAGGGGCCTCTAAGACATTGGGTTTTGAATACCAACCAACACCTAAGAGGCATGGGAGAACTGTGGATCAGGGCAAGCCGACCAAGTGCTGCAGTACTCTGTGAGGGCTGCCTGAACAGTGTGGTTTCAGACACCTGGTCAGGGGAAGAGAGATTGGGGTGTTGCGATTTTTCTCCCTAACACCAACATGGTGGGACTTCAGGGAGCAGTATAATGGCCTCCAGTGGAGGCAAGATCAGGTTACACCAAACCCCACACCTCCATGCCTGGCAACTGCTTATGTACTGGAGGAAGAGTGACACTGAATGAACCAGTCTCTCCTCCAGACCAGCACAACCACCAGTCCCAGGCACCAACAGACAA